CGAACCTGCCAGTCTCAGCATATGTGGCTGGCACCCTACTCACTGAGCTACAGGCACCAAGGCAACTATTTAAATTTTATTTTATTTTTATTTATATTTTTGAGACAGAGTCTTACTACATTACCTTTAGTAGAGTGCTGTGGTGTCACAACTCACAGCAACCTCAAACTCTTGGGCTTAAGCGATTCTCTTGCCTCAACCTCCCAAGTAGCTGAGACTGTAGGTGCCCATGACAAGGCTGGGCTATTTTTTGCTGCAGTTGTCGTTGTTTAGTTGGCTCAGGCCAGGTTTGAACCTGCCAGAATATATGTGGCTGGTGCTGTAACCAGTGTGCTCCAGGTTCTGAGCCTAAATTTTAATTAATCAAATAAAATTAACTGTATTTAAACAAACTTTGTATTACTTAAACTTCATATTTAGGTTTGGCGCCTATAGCACAGTGGTTATGGTGCCAGCCACATACACCAAGGGTGGCGGGTTTGAACTTGGTCTGGGTCAGCTAAACAACAATGACAGTTGCAACAAAAAATAACCTGGCATTGTCATGGGCACCTATAGCCCCAGCTATTTGGGAGTCTGAGGCAAGAGAATCACTTAAGCCCAAGAGTTTGAGGTTGCTGTGAACTGTAACGCCACGACATTCTACCCAAAGCAACATAGACTGTCTCAACAAAAAACAAACAAACAAAAAAACGCTTTAATAAATAAATAAATTTCTGAACGATCTTAAAAATAAAAAAACCCTTCATAATTAAATAAAATTAGCCAGTCACACTAGCTATGTTTCAAGTCCTCATTAGGCACAGATGATAGAACATTTCCATAATCACAGAAAGTTCTGTTGGACAGCACTACTATTTTTTCTTTCTTTCTTTTTTTTTTTAAAGAGACAGAGTCTCACTTTGTTGCCCTTGGTAGAGTGCTGTGGCATCACAGCTCACAGCAACCTCCAGCTCCTGGGCTTAGGCGATTCTCTTGCCTCAGCCTCCCGAGTAGCTGGAACTAAAGGTGCTTGCCACAATGCCTGGCTATTTTTTGTTGCAGTTTGGCCGGGGCTGGGTTAGAACCCACCACCCTCGGTATATGGAGCTGGCACCCTTCTCACTGAGCTACAGGCACTGCCCAGACAGCACTACTATTAATATGTGATACCTAACTGTTCACATACTAGCATATAAACCATTTGAGGGTAGCATTCTGGTTTATATCTTTATAGTCACCTGTTTGTAAAGTTCTTAATATTTGATGATTCACTGATTAGTATCAGAAGTTTGCTATCATAAAAATAAAAACAAATTTTGACTTTTTCAAAAACACTAAATGCAGGAATCTCTACTCTAGGCAATTTATGCAGTTTGATTCTGACTGTATTTGCTAAGCCCTAATATCATACACAACTTGAAAATTCAGTCGTATATATTTAGCTGCATCATTTCAACTATGATGAAACATTTTTTCCCTAAATAGTGTAAGTCATTCAGTTATTGAACAGATACATGAGTCCCTACATGCCAGTCACTAGGCTATGATTACTATAGTATGAAAGAAAGATGGCAGTTTCTACCTTTACAAAACTTATAGGACAGCAGGGAAGACAGACAAATGTGTAATTGGGGTAAAATATAATGTGTGTTGGAACAGAATATCTGCTGGGAGTCTAGGGGTCAGAGAAGAGCTGATCTTCTGGTTTATGGTTTATGTGAATGATTTTCTTATGTGAAATGGTTTTTGTGAATGATTTTCTTTCTTATTTAGTTGCCTGAAACTCGTCAACTCCTATGGCTGAGACGATTTGCTCATGGAACAACAGGTCTGGTGTTTCTTACAGCTCTCTCAGGTAGAGTTTTTCTCGTCACACATGGCCTGTGTACATTCCATGCTGAGGTGGGATCTCTTGCCCCATGCCTTGCCCCTTTCTACTGCATCTTCTTAGTCCCCTTTTACACTTGTCTCTCATACCCACTATCTTCACCCTCTGTGTTCTTTCCTTTCCCTTTTAAATATTTTACTTTCTTATCAGTTGAACAAAATATTGAACATACCTAGAATCAGACTGTCCATGTTCAAATTCTACCTTCACTACTGTTTGATGTCAGCCAGCCCTGTGACCTCCTAGGGCCTCACATACCTTATCTACAAAAGAGAGATTATGACAATGATATGAATAATATAGGTGACATGCTTAGAATAGTACCTGGCATGTAGCAAAGGCTACATAAATGTTAGTTGTTATTATGTAAACATTATTGTAACATATGTAATTTATCATATTACACTAAATGTGTCAGACCAAAGGGCTGCCCTCAGATATGGTGGAAGGTGGGAAGTTCATTGGCACAGAGAGACCAACACAGAAGTTTTTCTTTCTGGAGTAAAAATAATGATTCAAACCAGTGATCCACTCTTTTTTTGTTTGTTTGTTTTGGTATAAGAGCATGAATTTTGACTTTATAAGTGGTATTCACAAAAATAAGGAATGTGATCCAAATTCCTCTGAATCTTCTTTGACCAGATACCTTCTTTATATATTCATCTAGGATTTAGTTTTTATAAGTTTGGGGGTTCTTCTCAATTATTCATTCAGCAAACATTTATTGAGTAGTTGGAGAAAATAGATAACACACAATAAAAAAAATACTATGGATTGGGCACAGTGTCTCAAGCCTCTAACCCTAGCACTTTGGGAGGCTGAGGTGAGAGGATCACTTTTTTGAAACCAAGTGTTTGAGACCAGCCTGAGCAACAACAAGACCCCGTCTTTACAAAAAGTGCTAAAATTAACTCGCCATGGTGGCATGCTACTCAGGAGAATGAGGCAGGAGGATCACATAAGCCCAGGAGTTTGAGGTTATAGTGAGCTATGATTATGCTATTGCATTGTAGCCTAGGCACTAGTACAAGACCTTATCTCAAAAACAAAAAAATAATGTGTCAGATGGTAGTCAGTGTTATGAAGAAAAATAAAGCAGGATATGGAGATAGAGAAAGGTGGGGAAGGGAGTGCCGTTTTACCTAAGATCCTTAAGACACGGCTCTTTGATAAGGTAATATTTGAGTGGAGACCTAAGGAAATGAGGGTGTCAGTTGTGCAGATATCTGAAGGAAGAGCATTTCCTAAATAGATCAGTAGTACTTAGCAAGGGTGGGGGAGGGCATCAGTGTTACTAAGGGAATTTTTCTAAACTAATGGGCCTCACTCCAGAGCATCTTATCACTTCTCTAGGGGAGGCAGAATCTTGGAGCAGGAGCAGGTAAGTTCCTGTGGTGATTGTGGTATATATATTCCCTATTTGAGAGCCTCTATTGTAGGTCTTTCTGCTATTCTCTGACTGTTCCTTTTGTCCAACTCTGGTATAATAGGCTTTTTCCTGTGTCTCTCGTTTTAATAAATACCATTTACCTTGGAATACAGGGGCTTTTGTGGCAGGGTTGGATGCTGGGCTTGTATACAACTCTTTCCCCAAAATGGGAGAATCCTGGATCCCAGAGGACCTCTTTACCTTCTCCCCCATCCTGAGGAATGTTTTTGAGAATCCCACCATGGTGCAGTTTGACCACCGGATTCTGGTAGGTGTGACTGTTGGTTCCTTGCCAGAAAGCACAGGAGCCTCTCACAGGCTTTGGGGTGTCAGAGAAGCACTGATTGATGGCAACCATGAGAGGGTAGAGCAGGAACTGTATTTCCTATTCTTCCTGGAAGAAATTCTAAGACCAGTTCTCTGATCTGATGTCTTTGTCCTCATTACTCACACCTTCTCCAGCCAAATTCTAGCTTTCAGGGTATTGCTGGCTTCTTAAAGTTCAAATATGCCTTTTACTACCTGGCGAATGATAACATACCTCAATTCTGCACATACTGGGAGAGTCATCTCAGCAGAAATGAAGTTGTGTAGAGAGGGGGTTGCAGAGAATATGATTGCCAAGCACAGAGCTATCAGAGATGAACTAGCACCTCTGGGGGCCAAGAGCTTCAGTAATACTTTTCAGTTTATTTAAGTTATAATGTTTTGAGGGCCTCCGATGGGCCATGTAAAGATTGGCTTGGAGCCTGGGCATGAAGAATTGGAGCAGGGAAAGATCAGTGGTGAGGAAATGGCGAGAAGCAGTGGTGCTGCTACACAGTGCAAGGGAGAGAGGGCATCCGGGCGCGTGCTGGGAGTGGGAAGTGAGAAGAATGGAGAGTTAGTGAGTTTGGCTGTTAGAGATAAAAGTGAAGAAAGATCAAAGGAGGTCTTAAAGTCTCTCTTGTGGCATGTTTGAAACAACCACCAATAGAAATGGGCCCGTCCGTCGGATTGAGTGTTGAGCTAGAGAAGGGCATCAGATTGAGGCATGTTGAGTGTGAGGTGATGGTAGTACATCCAGAGAGAGAGGTTCAGAGGACTCAGATACGCAAGGGGGCCTGGGGCTAAGGCTGGAGCAAGTTACCTGGGGTGGGCTCAGTCCCCATCTCCACACAATATTTTGGCATAAGTAAAATCTGGGTGAAGTTGTCATTGTGGACAGCTCTGAAAAGGAAGTGAAGTAGATGTGCAGATTTGATAGAGAAACATTCTCTCTGACATCAGGGAAGGGGAAAGGAGACCTTATTGCCAGTCCCGGATCCTTGTTCTGAAGGGGTGGGAATGAAAATGAGACATTAGGTCTTTTTCAGTACCAGCTGGCAGCACCACCACCTTCTCCACTTACAGCCCAGGAAAATTGTAACCCTTGTGTGCTGGTCCAGCCCTGCTTTAAGAATATAGGGTTAGAGTAGAGATAAAATTAGGGGTATGAATGCAAAGAATAATTTAAAAAGTGAGGGCCATACCTGGGGGACACCAACATTGGAAGGTAGATAAAAGGTCACTGAGAGTGTGTATAAAGTGATACACGCAGAACTTTAGAACCCCTGGGTAAGACCAACACCGAAGTGGCAAGCAGAAGAGGACTGTAGAGGAGGCTAAGAAAAGATCAGGGTAGAACTGAAAAGCAGTCATGTAAGTGGTGCAGGAAAGTACTTCATGGGAGGCCAGTGGATCCAGAGGAGATCCTTACAAGGTCAGTGGAAACCTGGCACTTGTGATGAGAGTCTTTCTTCCCTGCAGGGAATCACTTCAGTCACTGCCATTACAGCTCTCTACTTTCTTTCCCGGAGAATTGCCCTGCCTAGAAGGACCAAGGTGGCAGCAGTGACTCTGCTGGCTTTGGCATATACACAGGTATAAACCACTTCTTTTTGGTCTGATGGTATCCCTAAGTTAAAAAGGAAAGGCAATGGATTAGGAGAAAATATTCTTGATATTTATAATAGTTTAAAAGATTATTAACCAGGGTGGCACCTGTGGCTTAGGGAGTAGGATGCCGGCCCCATATACCAAGGGTGGCAGGTTTAAACCCGACCCCAGACAAACTGTAACAACATCAAAAAAAATAGCCAGGCTTTGTGGTGGGCACCTGTAGTCCCAGCTACTTGAGAGGCTGAGGCAAGAGAATCACCTAAGCCCAAGAGCTGGAGGTTGCTATGAGCTGTGATGCCACAGAGGGCCACAAAGTGAGACTCTGTCTCTAAAAATAAAGGGGGGGGGGTGGCGCCTGTGGCTCAAAGGAGTAGGGCACTGGCCCTATATGGTGGGTTCAAACCCAGCCCCTGCCAAAAACTGAAAAAAAAAAAAAAAAAAAAAAACACCAAAAAAAAGATTATTAACCATGAACTAAGTAAAGGCTATCAATACACAAGTCTAACAAGAGAATTATTATTGATGAATGGCCCATAAACAAGAAGGGCTATTCAGCCTCACTCATGCTCAGAGAAAGCAAATTAAAACAATGAGTACCATTTTGTGTTTGTGCCATTGTAAAGAGATGAAAAAAGAAAAAGAAAAGATAATCAGTTGTAAGCCTGGATGTAGGAAAATGAATACCTTCAAATATTCTTAGAGAAAACAGTTGATATGGCTTTTTTCAGAGGATAATTTAGCAATATCTTTTAAATTGTTAAGTGTATAATCGTTTGGCCCAGTAAATTTACTTATTGGTGTCTACCCTAGAAATAGTCTAATGCACAAAGAGCTTTGCATAAGGAAATTCATCATAGAAAAGTGTAGAGTAGAGCCAGGTGTGGTGGCTCATGCCTGTAATCTCAGCACTTTGGGAGGCCAAGATGGGAGGATAATTTAAGGCCAGGAGTTTGAGACCAGCCTGGGCAACCAAGCAAGACCCCATCTCTACAAAATATTTAAAAAAAGAAAAAAAGGCAGGGTATGGTGGTGTGCACTTACTTGTAGTCCTGGCCACCTAGGAGGATGAACCAGAAGGATCTTTTGAGCCGGTGAATTGGAGGGTGTAGCGAGCTGTGATCACACCACTACACTTCAGTCTGAGCAATAGAGCAAAACCCTGTTTCTTAAAAAAAAAAAAAAAAAAGTATAAGTGTGTAGAAACTGGTAACCAGGAACTGTGATGGGATGAAAGATAAAGAGAATTTTAGATTTATCTATTTTATTCAAATTTCCTTCCTTGTAAGCATATTTGCTTGTGAAATTATAAATACATATATTTCCCATGCATGGGGGCTGTTGAGTTTGAACCCAGCCTAGGCCTGCTAATCAAAAAAAAAAAAAAAACAACAGAAAACATACATTTTAAATGTTCTAATGGAATAGTGTAAAGGTTTGTGTATCTGGTTATCCATGCCTTGTCATTTTCATTGTGAATTTGTGCTTACTGCTTTTCTTATTGCTTTCTTTTCTTTGTAACAGGTGGGCTTGGGCATTAGCACTCTCCTGATGTATGTTCCAACTCCTTTGGCTGCCACTCACCAGTCAGGCTCCTTGGCTCTGCTCAGTAGCGCCCTTTGGCTCATGAACGAACTCCGAAGAGTCCCAAAATAATCCTCAGAGGATCAGCTTCCTAGGACTGAAACTGTGCTTTTGAGAGTTTATCAGAGTATAAGAACATGGACTTTCCTACCAGGATAACCATGGCATACCAAGTGGTTTCCAAATTGGACAAGTTAATTAAAACTCTTTGCCTGTTTTGAGATAGCCATCAGATCAAGAATGGCATTAAGTATGGTTACACTAAAAGTTCCTTTTTGAATCTGTTACTTTTCACATTGAAAAATAATTGTCTGCCATTTGTGGCTCTTAATAGGCTCTGTCTCAGGTTTCTTAATATTGGCAAATTCTTGGTTTTACATGCATGATTTCTGTTTCCTTGTTCTCCTAAGTTCTGAATTCTGCTTAAATAGAATTTCTTTATGATCTTAACTTCATTCCCAACAGAATGAAGCTTCAAAGGGGGCTTTGGGAGATCCTAAAGTAGCCAGGTATCCTGTAGCAAAAAAGTAGCTAATGACTTCTAGCATCCTGACTTTTAAAAATGGGACATCAGGCCCAGTGTGGTGGCTCATGCCTATACTCCTAGCACTCTGGGAGGCCAAGGTGGGAGGATCACTTGAGCTTAAGAATTTGACACCAGCCTGAACAAGAGCAAGATCTCATCTCTACTAAAAATAGAAAAATTAGCTGGCCTGGTGGCAGGTACCCAACCTACTCAGTAGGCTGAGGCAAGAAGATCACTTGAACCCAAGAATTTGAGGTTGCTTTGAGCTAGGCTGACACCATAGCGTGCTAGGTCAAGTGATAGAGTGAGACTATCTCACAAAAGTGGGGAGAGAATCAGATTTTGACAAGCTTACTGTGTCTGTGCAGCAGAATGATTTACAAGTATTTGGAAATTGAGGTAATTGTAAGTAATCCACTTGGATCTATCAAGCACTTAACCTCATTCTTCTTTTGATAGTGTGTTACATTGCTAGGAGTGGAATAGACAGTATAAATTGGTATCTGAAAGTGTTTCCTAATAGCCTTGTTGATTTTAAAAAACTGACCTTGATGGTGTAGTACCCTGACATCTACTCAGATATTTAAACAAATTGTTGACTACTAAATTGGTGTGATTTTTGTCTTCATTGATATTTCACAGGGCTCTGTCTTATTTAACTTTATTTTTTAAATCAGTGACTTGGAAGTCATTTGAAGCATCTGATTTGAGAATGGGGCAACCCAACATTGCTAATAAATGACAGTGATGACTCTAAAGCATCCCAGAATGACCCCATCAAGATGAAATAAAACAGATTATAAATGTAACATATTCATTTAACCTGACTTCATATAAAGAAAGTCTAGGAGATTTCAGTTGGCCTTAGGCTCAACATGAACTATTTATGTTGTCACATGACTACACAGAAAAATTAGTGTACTGTGGGTTTTATCAATAGAAGTGCCACTAGTCATAGTTGGAATAGAAATTTTGCATTTCACTCTGGGTACCCAATGTAAGCAGGGCATGGACACACTAAGTGTGTATCCAGAGAGTACTCCTACTAAACGACTAGGAATCTCTGGCCTGCTGCTGCTTTTTAGGTCCAAAGTTGTCAGATCTGTTTTTTTAAAGAAGCCAGATACCAGGTGGTGCCTGTGGCTCAAGGAATAAGCTGCTGGCCCCATATACCGGAAGTGGTGGATTCAAACCCAGCCCTGGCCAAAAACTGCAAAAAAACAATAAAAAATAAAGGAGCCAGATATCTAGATTTTTATGTGAAAGCTCTCAATTAAGTGTTGGCAACTGATTACAAGTTTTTAAAAATACTATGCAGGTTTAACATGTCTGGGAGCTATTAGTGCCCTCAGGTTTGCCCATTTGCAGTCTGTGAACTAGATGATCTCATTTCCTTCCCAATTCCAGTATTCTGTGAGTTTCAGCGTGATCATTTTCAGATGCTTCTTAGCCAAACAAAGGTAAACAGGACAGTTTGATTTTTCCAAATTATTGTATCCTGGTAGACTTAACACTGTTGCCTAGAAGTGCTTCCCAGCTTTTCTCACATTGACTCTTAAAATCCCAAAGCCCAAGCCTTATCTAAGACCAACTAAACCACAATATCTGGGAGCAGTAATGGGCATATTTTTGAAGTCCCCCAGGTGATTACCATGCATGGACAAGTTTGGGGACTACTGGCTTAGGTTCTAATAGCCTAGTTACCTTAGAAAGTTCTGACCAGCTTATTCCCATTCTCTCCAAATTTCCACCGCACCCCATCATTTAATCTGTTGATCCTGTTATGATGTATGCTAATAGGATAACATCTCTTCTATATAGAATTCTTTAAAAAAGGAACTGCAGTGACTGCGGCAGGTTTCCACACAATCATCTGATCCCCCCAAACCCAGGTTGTCCTTAGTTAATGTAGTAACTGAGTCAGCAGAGGGCAGTATGACCCAAAAAATCCACATGTTAATGCTTCTACACTTCCCTCCAAGAAAGCAGCAACTCAATAAGTTCCTGTTTCAGATGTTTTACTTCATTATTCTTTAATTACAGATGATGACTACATTTGAAAAACAGATCTGATTACATTTAGCTATGTAACTGTATTATGCTATTGATGAGCTCTTGGTGAACAGTGATTATCTTAATAATTTTTGTATTTTGTATTATTCCTAGCACCACAAACATACTCAGTATTGAATGAGTGAATTAGTAGAAAAGGATGATTGCAGACTGATGTCCAAAACACCTCTTTAAAAAGAAATTCGTCACATAACTGTATGATTAAATGAATTTTCCTTACGATTCTCAAAGGTCTCTCAAAAGTTCTGTCAATTGTTTTTATAACATGGAGGAAATTAAAACCTATGGCTTGGCTCGGCACCTGTATCTCAAGGGGCTAAGGTGCCAGCCACGTACACCGGAGCTGGTGGGTTTGAATCCAGCCCAGGCCTGCCAAACACAATGACAACTACAACCAAAAAATAGCCAGGCGTTGTGGAGGGTACCTGTAGTCCCAGTTACTTGGGAGGCTGAGGCAAGAGAATTGCTTAAGCCCAAGAGTTGGAGGTTGCTGTGAGCTTTGACGCCATGGCACTCTACCCAGTGTGAGAGCTTGAGGCTCTGTCTCAAAACAAAGAAATAAATAAAACTTACGGCTTTTTAAATCAGTCAACCAGATATTTTTGTCTTTACATTGGCAAGTGCTGTCTGTTGTAGCAGGGGTAATGTTGCAACTGCCTAAAATGATGTTGGTTGCAAAGACCAACAGTGATGATCATGCTTTTAGGATAACCAGTTTATCAACAGCTATCTTTCTGGCCCAAAGAAGAATGGTGGATTATATGCTGTCATCTGTAACACATATACCCACATCCTGCAGATGAAGGAGAATGCATCACTTCTCTAACAAGTGTACATTTTCCTCCACACTGACTTAGAATGTTAAACTTTAAGGGAAACAAAACAATAAAATATTTAATGTAAGTGTGGAATGTCTAGCTGTGGATCACAAAAGATGCCTTTCAACACTCTGCAGAGGCCTTTGTTCAAAGTAGAAAAAATAGAGAAGACATGGCATATACTTCAGGGTTTCAACTAAAGGGGAATTGTGGAATGAGTATTTAAAACATGATAACAAATAGTAGAAACCAAAGAATTTGTGATCCCTGCTTGCAGAGGAAGACTTTTATGAAGCTAATTAGAGGGAGAGCCTTTACCAAACAGGCCAGACTGGTGGGTGCTCTGTGAGATGGGTCACTTAGGAAAGTACCAGGGTTACTTTCCTACTAAGAGTAGAGAAGTGGCAGGTCACCAGAGGTATACAAGTGGCTGTCCCACTTAAAAAGGAGAGGCTCAGGAGCAGACATGTCCCCAGACTTGCCTGAAGTTGTGCATGCATGCCTATAGGCATCTGGTGTTTCAGAAAAACCTTCAGCTTTGGTTTTATAAAACCAGCAAGCAATGATTGATTACATTTAAAGTGAAAGCCCTTCTCAGTAATGATTCAGTTTTACAAACATAAGGATCTTATTGCTCAGATTTTCTGAGAAACACAATGGTGTTATTCCTTCCCTCTCCCTCTAATAATGCTACTGAGAAACTGGGAAATAATGAAATATTAGCACAAAAGGGAGACATGTAATAACATAAGGGAAGTCTATTAGGATATTAAAAAGTAGGCTTAAAATGAAGCTCTAATAGGCCACCTGCCAAAACAAAGGTAGACAGGGTTCCTAAACCACACTAAAACTTTTCAAATATAGATCAGATCCAGACACAGAGCCAAGAGGAGAGCCAGAAGGAATATAGAACATAACTTAGAATTATTGATTTTAGGTATATTCACTGTTTGCAAAAATGTCTGCTATTCTAGATGATTAACCCTTCCTTGGTTTTGAGTCCTCTTTTTTTTTTTTTTTTGAACAGTAATCCTTTTTATTTTTGGTAACACCAACAAAATCCTCACAAGTTTGACAAGCAGACTGCCCCAGTGGTAGGACTGTGAAGCTAGCATACCTAAACAGACTAACTGGGGAGAATTTTGAGACATCCGCTACTTCTACCTTAATTCTTAATCCCAAGTGAAATGATGTTACACCACATACAACAGCAAAAAGGAGTATTACATACTAATTCTAAATTACTTTGAAAAGAAGCTTAAAGACAGCAAAAAGAAATAGTACTCTGTTTCTGTAAGGGAGTGTAGAAACCGCACAAGAATTACAAGCAAGTTCCTTAGTGATATAGATCTAATAGGCATTTATATCCTCATTTACATTGTAACCACGTTATGAATTGCTTGGATGCTGTGGTTAATCAAATTATACAAAACTAAGCAAATCGTTTGAAAGAGACATCTAAAATTTAAAGGTATTAAAGAAACTAGAATAGATGTAGTGGAAACTTGGCACTGTTTCTAACAAGGTCTTGAAGTTTATTACTATCTGAGCAAAGCAATTACAGGTGAATATCAGAAGCAGTTATAAAGACTAGGCATGGTTTAATTGCAGCTAGCTGTGTTATAAAGAATAGATTTCATTGAAATACACTTGCAGAAATAATCTGTCAATGAGCATTTCACTGTAGTGTCAAAGTTGTTGGGGGCAAAGGGCAGTTACAGAGAACAGAGAAAACTTCACGTCCAAAAGGCCATTCACTGTGACTTTGCACATACTATAACTGTCCTGAAACCCGATTTCATCACCTACGAGCAAAGGGGTTGACCAGAAGACCTCTAAAATTCTGGCTTTAAAACTATCTGTGGGAATTAATTTACAATAATTGCTGTTGGAAACTTCATTCCATAACATCAGGGACTATGGATAAAGTTAAGAGTTTCTTTTGGGTAGCTTGGTCTTCTAAATCAAAGGCCAAAATCCTTTTCTAGAAACCCTGAGATTTTTCTACCTTATTTCCTGCCTTTGGTTCCTTATCTTGTCTAGCCACCTTATTTTATAGATAAGTGAAGGACAGAGAACAAGTGACTTGCCTGGGGTACCTGAGCTAATGATGACAAAGCCAGGACTAGAATCTATTCATTCATTATTATTAAGTTCTTTCCTTTAAATGATACCACCCATTTGTCTTTTTGCCCCTGACAAAAGAAAAACA